TACTGTCTCAAAGTTCACGAGAAAAAGTCTAAATTCAAAGTTTTTTTTTACGGAAAATTGCACTAAATAGGGAACTATTTTCTTATATGATCGTATATAGGAAATTGGTCTATATGGTTTATAGGGAAATGCTATTTTGAATTTTAACGTGACTTAAACATATAATAATATAATTTAAGTGCTAAGCATATTTTCAACTTAATTTTAACTTCCGTATAAACAGCTTTGAGGGATTTTTTTTGCCTTACTCAGTTACCGAAAATCGAAAAAGCCATCTTGCCCCATGGATCCCATATATGCTTCATAATTGACCCTGTATGTAATTTTCGTTAAGACATAATATTTAGAAAAATTTGAAAAAAAATCTACAGACCTTGTAGCTCTATTGGATACTTAGAGCTTCAATTATTTCATCACTCAGCATCACTACCTTTCGGCACATGAATCGCAACTCTGCTTGAAGTCTATTCTTATCATGATTAAGTTTAATAATGTGGTGATTAGTACGGATTGAATGTTCTCTCCACTTATCCGAGGACTGTTCATCGATTGCATCTAACTCTTTTTTAATATTTATAATTTTCCTAGCTATTTTCGTGCGATACTCGCGAGTGTTTTTCGAATCCATCGTCCTAACTAGGGTTCACTTCCAATAAGCGACCGATCGCGACACCTGAAAAGTTTAACTGTAGTATTGTTTGTACAATCCTTCAGTTTTTATAGGTTCGTTTGCGCACGCTTCTGCGCAGATTGTTGTCATAAGCAAAACATTCATGAAACTTTCGTACGTGTTTGATAAAAGTTGAAAGTTTTGTTGTTTGTTTGTTTGTTTTACTTTTTTGAATGCTAACTGCAGTCGTAGCTTTCACGACCGAGGGCTGAATTTATCTAGTCATGTCACTTTTACTTACTCTGTATCTATAAAAGGTTCAATCGGAACTGCTTGGAACTTTTTGCTTTATGGGTGACTGAACTTTGCATAAATTTCAATCTGTTAACCAAACACAAATGTTTATAGAAAACTTTAATACAATTGCTACACCCTCTGTCTGGCTTTGACATCTGTTTGAATCAACTGCACATAGGTAGATTTATTTTCACATTTCGAAGGGACAATAAGTGTTCATTGTTTACCGGTCATTGACGTGTTTTCAGTGAAGGCTGATGTTAATATTATACGTATGAGACGTATCAGGTATCGAACTGGATACAATAGCGCTTAATGGGCCGAAAAAATAATTAAATGCCACTTTTGGTGAGACTCAATTTCAGTAATAGCTCAATTAATTCATATCGATTTCAGCTTCTTAAAATGACTTATTACTACTTTGTTGATCTGTCTACCAATAATAATTCAATGATAAATGAGTCTTAATTTAATGAAGAAATATTGGCTGCATTGATATCGAACGCATTATCATAATCGTTCGATTCGTATTCGGTGTAGTCAAACCGAAATTGATATGGAAACTCAGTTTCCGAAATGCCCTGCAGAGATATAACTTGAGGTTTAATTTCACTTGAATCACAGACATTTCAAACTAAATAGCGTCTGGGAAGTTCAAATTAACTATTCGTATACTCAGTAAATAACACAAGCCACTTTCGTAGACGGCTTAGCGGGTTTTCCTCTTGTTGGGAAACAATGGGTCAATACTCTCGACCTACTGATCGAAATTTGCGATGAACTGGTTCTCTATTATGATAAAGTTACAAGTTTCTTGGATATAATTTAATCATTAGTTTAATGCGATATTGTATGAGCTGTAAGAATAATATACAAACATGACATTTATTCAGAATTTGTTTAGAAATGAATATTGTTTCCTGACCTACAGTTCCAACAGCAATCTGGCATTTCGCATTTTTCTACAAACTACCTCAGAAACCATAAACATCAAACGCTCATCGATATTCAGAACCATTTGATTATTTGTAGGTCTATTTTAGAGATAAGATAAACATGGAGAAGAAAAATCCCCGAAATTTTTGCGGTCAATTTAATGGTTCTAATAACTTATTAATTCCGTGCAAATAATGTATTTATCAATAATTATTAAAGCTTACACACTAAAGAATTCAACTTGTGATTAAATTCTTTCTAAAAAAGGAAGATAATAGAAGATTACAGAAGAAAAAAATAAATCGAGTTATTCCACGAACTGGTGATCACAGATAAATAGGATCTTTTGTTATTTGCTTTTGTCCTCGATTTTGTTGTGGTACACTTGAAATTCAAAGTATTTGTTTTACACTACAGCTGTGCTCATCCAATTTTCGACAGCATTACTTTTTCATTAATACTGTCAATGACGCTTAGGATACACCCCTTAAACGTCTTACGTGCCATTGACAGTTTTATGGAACGCCCACTAGTCCAAATTCAGCTTGAATTTGGCGCATGAACGCACTTGAGTGATACAATTGGTGTTAAAATTAATTACTAAGAGCCAAAATGATTTTTATCCAAAGATAGCAGGAAAAGGGAAGACATCGATGTGGAATTAATGCTCTGGCACAAAATACATCACCTGGAAAAATGTGTGGTTAAGTATTTGACTGATGACTATAGCATTTTAGGAGTTTTGAGTTCACTTCAATTACCAACAAATGATGGGTTGCCGCAATATCCCCGGAGGGTGATCGGTCTAAACTTCAGAAACTGTTATAATATAACCTCTATAAAACCATTTTAAGACTTATGGATCTCAATAGAATGGCATGCAAATACTTAAGTCAAGTTCCGTTCGAGGGAAATCTTCAAGAATAAATTTCCGTGAAGTTGAGTTTTACCTGCATGTGTACGCACAGAAAATAAATATTCTCTTGCAAAATACTGACAATATAATTGTATTTGTTGGTAGATACTAAATTTCGGTCCACCGAGAAAATTTTGATTTGGATATTGTAATAAGTGTTTGTTTTAAGAATTTCAAGGTAAGTTCATGTTTTCATACCTTTGGATTGTTATGTTTTACTCAAAATATTATGTATGATCTTGCTTCAGTCTATAAACTTTGAGCATAATAAACATCAAAAGTTATTCTGTAATAACGAAATATAAAGGTAATCTCAATTGAGAAAGCCTTAGATGTGTCAGAAGAAAACACACAAGTCAGATGATTGAATTCGATAACATTCAAGATTAAAGTCCATGTAGGTATTTCAAAAAAACTATTCTCACAATTTTCATCTGATCAGATTTAGATCGAGTCAGTTCAGACCTGCTTTTACCGTTAGAAGGTGGAATATTGGGTAGAAAACAAAAAAGTCAGATGATTAAATTCAATAACACTCAATCAACAACAATCTTCCAAAGGCTACATTCATGAAATCTTTCATTATGGAAAGGTTTATCTGCAATTTTTTTTCTATTACGAAGTGTCTAGACATTTAATTTTGGATACCACACCCACACATATGTTAAAATATTACAATTGTAATTTTTTTATGTGAGTCAAGTACATGAGTCACTCCAACATCCAATACTCATAATATCATGATGTGGATATAAAGCTTAGGACCTTGGTCCCGACAAATGAAGCCTATAAAATTAAATTTTTCGGGAATCGAACACTTTCATAGTAATGGAAAAAAATAGAATACTAAAAAATTTTGTGAGTCCATAGAAATACAAGAAGCTAATTAGTGTTATATAAAGTTTCATATTATAATTATGTGGAGTTTATGTAATATGAGGCAGTATGCTTTCTTAATTTGCCTTTTTTCTACTCTACGCTTTTACATAGTGATAATCAACTTACAAAGGGATCCATCGTAGACTATAAATCCATGCGACCGTGGTTTACTTGATTGATTTTAATCATTTAGTGACATCAATTCGAAGAGTGTTTTACAAATAAACGTTAACATTTTTCTATTACATCGTTTTATTTTTGATTAAGTTTTTTTTTGAGCTAAGACTTAGAAAAAGGTCTCTATTTTCAATTTTTATTTCATTATTACATTAGCAGCTTATATTTTAAAGGTTAAAGAACGCGAGAAAAGTGATTTAAATTCAATCTAGAGGGTATTTTTTTTTAATCCTGTCCAATTTATTCCATTCTAGGACTTCAATAAATGATTAAACATCTTAGCCACACGTTTCGTTCGGTTGACCATCACCACTATGAACTCAGACAATTCAATCTAAAATCAAGCTCATTTGATCTTCGTATGAATAATTACTTTGAATCGTTGAAATGAGCATGGATTAATTTGACCATTACTCAATTTTTATCATTGCAAATAATAGCTGGTCTCTTTTTTGTCCTGAGGATTCATGTATGGTTTCAACTAAATGCTGGCCGGTAAATAATGAAAGCTGTTCTTTTTGAGTGTGAAGTATACTACTTGATTTATCTTGTATAACAGACAATTACTCTATCAAACAGCACTAGGATTATTAATATTGTTTATCTGACTTCATCACAAAGAAACTGTTTTATCGACTGGGTTTCAAGATGTGAGTGGTCATACAAAAGATATGGGTCTTTGGATACTTGCCGAAAAAGTTTCAGAAATATTAATCTTAATTGGTAGAAAAGCTGAATTATCAACAGATCATAAATTCTTGAAAGTTATTTCAGGAATATTATCTTAAATTTTAAGTCTTAAATAAACGAAAACTCTCAAATCTCTTTATGAAAGTGCAAATAATCAAAGTCTGTATAATTACTTTGAAGCGTGTGAGCTTTAACTTTCGGTTTAATTCACACGAAAAGTTGGACTTCAACTCCTTAGTACCTTGTTTTTTGTAGACGAGTATGGGCGGGAGAATTCAAAGAACTATCCGATGTTGTAGGAAAGAACAAATGACCTCAAAGTTCTTTGATGTTGGAATAAACCGAAAAGTCTACTTAGGTTATTTAATCAATAGTACGAGTCGTTATAAACTGCTTAGTAACAACTTGACCTAAAAAATTCTATTGGTAAATATGAAAATCTCCTTTATAATTTTTTGGAAAAAATATGTGTTATTATTAGTTACCATCTACTCAACTGCGCAGAAACGTGCGCTGACGAAGAATATGGAAACCGAGCAAAATAATCGGCACTGCTTCAAAATAACTTCTCAAGGGCCGTGATCGGTCGCCTATCGATATTAAGCTGTATAAAGTACGATGGACTCAATGAATACGCGCGAATCTCGTATGAGAATAGCAAAGAAAATTTTAAAAATAAATAAAGAACTTAAAGAAAGAAATAAAGTATCAGTGGATGAGCAAAAAAGACAATTACATCTTGATCGTAACTTCATAACAAAACTTCAGAATGACAAAAGAAGACTTCAGGCAGAGCTACGACATATGTGTTCTAAGATTGTGATGCTGGATGACGAAATCATAGCAGCTCTAAGTCCCTAATAAAATTATAAGGTATTTATTTTCACTTTTCTGTAAAGTGCCTAAAATTTCGGTGTTTTCGTAAACTTTCTTTAAACTTTGACAGAAGTAGCTTAAAGTAATTTAGATGCTCCAATAACTTCAAAGAAATGTTGTTATTACCGATTTTATTCCATCTGAAATATGTTATTGTGTTAAATTTCAAATGCTATGTTTTCCTTCGTTTCAGGTGAAAATCATTTCTTGGAAGTAAAATTAATTCCTAACGATAACTTGTTTGAAGAGACAGTTCAGTGGTTATATACACTTGTTAACTTTCCACAATTGGCTCGATTGGCGAAATTTGAATTCTCACTATTATTGGCGTTTTCGCTATCTTAAAGACGTATTGAGATATTGACTTCGACCAAAATTTATTTGAATAAAATTATTACGAAGAAGTTTTAAGTACATGAATTCAGTAAGCTGTTTTCTTTATAAACAAAAACTCATAAATAAATGAGACGATTAGACATTTAAAATACTATAAAGCTGAACAATAACAGTTTCATTTGAGAATTAAGTCGATATTGACTAGACTTTATTGTTCACAACTAAATAAGACTTTAAAGAATGACATATTGTTTGAAAAAACAGGAATTTTAGTATTAATTATTAAGAATCGTAGGGTTATGTTTCTCTTCAAGGAACCATTTTTCTAAAGCACTTAAAAATGTTTTCTTTCAATGGAATGGTTTAACTGAAAGCCATTCCTAAAGTAAACTTTCCCATATGTTGCTCCGAATCGGTGTAACCTAATTATTGTATTAAACTACAGATGATTTTCGTCCTTGGAGAAGGTTCTCGCTAGATCATATTGATTCTTCTACTTTTAGTCATTCTTTTGTTCCTTTAGCTTCCTGTTGGAAGGGGTTAAAATCCGTTCTTTTGTTCCAAACCTAATCAGTTGTATATTATCATATTTATCTAGATACTATTTCCGTAAGAGAGGTATTAGATTTAGAACGTTATTTCCTCTAGCTTAAGGGTGATACAAATTCAAAGTTATAATAAATCTTTGGAGACTGCGCAGTACCAACAAACAGAAAATCACCAGAATGGATCAAATTTCTTCTTTTTCAGCTAGCAACTGTATTTGTCATATTTGTATACTTAATAATAGGCTGTCACCCTTTCGCTGGTCATGAAAGAGCTTCTTATGCAGTGATTTAAACGCTTGATGGCGTTTTAAATACTGCATGAGAACAGTGATAAATATGATTTTTTTTGTTTCAGATCTTATGCTCAACTTCACTCGTGTTCAGTTATTTGTATAATTATGAAACTATGGAATGATAATATGAGATACTTATATTTAAATGTCGACTATTTTACAAATAAATTGTGCTAGAATTTTGTGAACAAATTTATAATCAAATAAAACAATATATTTTCGTGGTATGGTTTGTCTGCTCCTTACTCTTTTGTTCATTAGTAATACCTCCATCAACAGTGGAATTATACGCCCACCATTTGACCTAACAGATTAAGCTCTGATTCCTTGAAATAATTCCATAAATTAAGTACAAGTTGAGTTTAAATGTCGTTTCCATTGACACAGCTCCTGAACAATTATAACTATTGTTGTGACTACGATCGTGAACTAACTACTTCAATGTCGTTCATAAAATGTTCAATGTTGATTTTGAATAAAATATTTTCAATATTTTATTACGTCTTCTCTTGCTTTCTTTTATGGTGCTGGTCATGTTATTATTATTCTTATAATTGAATCATTTTATATTGAATTTCTAACCAAAAAAAGATTTTTTTTTAAGTGTTAGAAAAAGTTTAAGATGTGGTATTTCTAAATTTCATTTTATTTCGTTGAACAATCTTACTTGATATTTCCATTTACTTGGCTTTAAAATAAATTGGAACATTTAATGAAATTCAATAGGCCATAAATAAAACTACAATAACCCGTCTCTCTTACAGAGGTTCAGTTCACCAAGCTAGTTTTGAATTACAGCTGAATCTCGTTAAAATTGACCGAAAATTGACTCTCTCGATACAATATACTGCGCGACACAAGTGGTGTCTCAATTTGGTATAGGAGAGTAAAGGAAATTACATGTATAACCTCAAAAAAAAAAACCAACAAAATCGAATACCATTTATGTCGCGTAGTGTGGACTTTCCCTATTCTCACCTAATTTTTTGTTCGGCCAATCACGTTTATAATAAGATGGCGCGTATTTTTGAAATTGTAACAACAACTGTCATTATATATTCCAATTCACTATTCCAGTGTTTAATCTCGCACGGATGTCACTAAGGCCCGAGTTCACCATTAGCAAACTGCTAATCATAGCTGCCAACTTTTGCCAGACACTGGTACCAACCCAAATAAATTAAAAATTGAAGAACTTATCTAAATATTAACATCACCTTAATAATTTCTTTAATTTATAATTACCTGTTTACACGAATTGCACAATAACTGTGCATTATTTCTTTATAACAAATTTTAGGTTATGTATGTTATGATCGGGTCCTTTAATTTTTTAATTTATTTGGATTGGTACCAGTGTCTGGCAGAAGTTGGCAGCTGTGATTAGCAATTTGCTAATGGTGAACTTGGGCCTAACTATGGTTAGGTTGTCTACGCGAGTGCCTTAACTTTGATCTGCTTACTAAATTCGATTTAAAACCGCATTTAGTAATGCCTTAACTGCAGTTAAGCAACTAATGTTAAGGCTGTTTACGCGCGCTAACTTCGATGTTAACATCAATGTTAAGGAGTCTAACTTCGATGTTAGACTGCACGTAAACATAGCAATAGACTCGTACACATATTACAATCAAGAGGGCACTTGCGTGCTTGAGCAGGAGTGGGGTTGAAGAAGAGGTTCATTACAATAGATGTTAATCTGCCTGAATGGACAATTATAATGAGATTCAACTATACACTGTGGCCAAATCGAGTGTAAAAAATCTTTTATACACGTTGATTTCTTTGATTAAAAATTTTATTGAATTTAAATAAGTTGCTTAAATAAAATTAAACTTGGAAAGAGTTAAAAAATTTGGAATAGGTTTTAGACTTATCAATTGAATAGTATACAGCTTTTCATCAGTAGAAGAAGATTAATTTGGATTTGGTAAATAAATTAACACGTAATAAAATAAAACTACTTACTCATTTATTTATTGAAGAAACTGAGAAAAGATGTCACTTTTTTTTCTTATTTCTCTAATGATGCCAAATTTGATTCATCTTTTCCTTACCAACACAAATCAATGAGCGTTTTCCATTTAGAAAAAAAAGTCGACACAGTGTCGACCATACTATAGCAAAAACCTAATGCCAACTAAAGCTTGGTAACTTTAATACTTTCATTGGCAACACTACTTTTTCACAACGACCAGCAAATTAATGATTGACTTTTAAAAAAAATAATGGATAATACAGGTAAATTGAGAAAATTATCAGATATAAAAGTTTTTCTTTATGAAATTAAGGTAGTATCTTTTATTATTTACACAATGCAATGCTATGTAACACCCAACACTCAACTTTTATTTCAACTCGCCTCCGGTGGAAACTAAACTATAGAAAATACAACAAGGATTGAAAGTCTATTTTTTTCTCCTAGTAACTTTTATAAGCTGCCCTCTATCGAAACACAATAAAAGTAGATGTTCGATTTATAAAATTAGTCGACACAGTGTCAAACACAGAGAGGTTTTCTTTAAATGGAAAACGCCCAATTTGTATTAAAGTATAGTGTTACTACGCATGCGTATTTTTCTCATTGTACGTCCAACAGCTTATACTTTTAATTGTGTGAACATCCCTGGTAACCGTATTTCACTTTCATTTGTCGAACACCACTCGTCTTCCCCCCCCCCTCATATCTGCCGCCGTGTAAATGGCCTCATTTAAATGTGTAAACCCACATGATTTTCCATTTTGGACATGGTAACAACTGTTTCACGTGGAAAGCTATTTTATTAGCAACAGTTATAATATTGTAAAATATTTGTATGTCGTTAGTCTAATGACTATCAGACTAACAACAGTTTGTTAGTTAACGACGATTGCTTGACGATTAGATTGTTTAGAGCAACGAGGGGGAGTTTGTTTATCTCCAGGTGTTGACTGAGACTTGAGTTGACCGCACGGATTCTTGCATTTTGATTAATTGCTGTCATTCTTAAATAAACTTTTCCTTTATTAATTTATGTTCCGAAGTTGTTATTCGGTCTTATTTTACAATATTAACAAAATCAGCCTGACTGTGTCTGTATCTAAATAATAACACAATTCATTAAAATAAGAATTTAAAGCAACTTTTGTTGGTACATTTTATATCTAAAAATTTTGTAAAAAATTCTGCAAATATTCCAAGTTGTTTTTTACTTTATTAGTGAGACGATTTTTACCGTTTTATAATATCACCTCTAATTGTACCCGTATGTATAGAATAAAATGGCTTCCCTCGTCTACATACGTCTCAAATCAATTATATAAAGCCAAACAATTCATTTTTTTTTTTTTTTTAATTTTCTCCAAATGATAATTCGATGCACTTAATATTTTTATTAATTTCTCTATTTAACAGACTTTTTATTGCTTCTATGACAAAGATGTGTAAAAATTATTCTGCAATATATTTATGATTTGAAACTAAATAAGAAAACTGTAAAAAAAACTTTTTGACAAGGATATTATTTACTAACACCACCCTTTTGTGTCTCGGTTGTTTGAGATGAGAGTGTTCATTACTCTGAAAGGAACTCTTATAATTAAACATCAAATTGAACTAAAAAAAAATCCTCAAGGGTATTGTTGATATTTTTAAAACATCCGATGCAATTGAAGCATTTTTTATCAATACATAAACATTAATATACTTTGCATTTAAATAAATTGCAGTTCAAATCAAAGACTATTCATTCTCCAGGGAATTGAAAGATTTACCGGGAAATTTGAATAATGAATTCAAAGAAATATTAAATAAAATTTATGTCCCACACAAAAACCGATAATTTTTGCTGAACAGAGGTACTTAGTATTGTTCGCAATACTTTTAATGCCTTTAAGGGTTTTAAGACCTTCAATACATTTAAATATACCCTATACGCTTCAGGCAAAGATTTTTCCATTAGAATTTTTTTTCTCGAATGTTTACCGAATAATGTTGCCAGCTGCCTTATGTACACAATCGTCAATCATGTCTCCTCCTCCTCCTCCTCCTTCTGATCCACCTGGCTAGACAGTCTTCAATAAAAATTGATAAACAAAAATGTATTGGATAATTGCATAAATAATTATGTACATTTATTAAAGACTATTGGGAACATATTATTATCTAAGGTCATAGTCCAGTAACGGTGCAATTAAAAATAGGGATAGTATAAGATTAACAAAATCTGAAAAAAATTTCAAATAAAAGTCTTTAATTAACAATAAATAATTTAAGACATATGAAAAAAAGAGAAACGATTTTTTTGCCTGCGAATACTGGACGAAAATGAGTTGGCGACTTAAAGCAATAAATGAAGAAAGAAAAATAATTAGTGTTTATTATTCAAAACAATTGGCTGGTGACCTTAGAATCGAAACAAGGCTAGAGAAGGAGGTAACGAAAATAGATTTCTTAGAATGTTGATTAGACTATAGGTTGTTGAAATACTTATGAAGGATGTCGATACTTAGGAAAAATCCCGAGTAGAAGGATAATAAAAATATTTCAGGGAAACCCCTATATATATATATATCTATAAAATCTGTTTGGGATAATAAATTAATTTTAGTCCTGGTAAACATCTGTGGGCTGTACTTAATATTTTCAGCTAAGATAAGTACTTAAGCACAGATATGGGCAACGTTTTTAAAGTCAAAGTCCCTTTCAAGATTAAAAGTACTCATAAAATAAGACCCACAATAAAAATCGTATTAAGTAATCCAGGTACTTCGAGAAGTCCCACTTTCCCATACCTGCTTCAGCATAATTGTCAGTGAGAAAACCCTTGGACGATTACCTTCCTATAGTTCTGATGAAAATGAAGACTTTTCATTATTTAAAATATTAATCCTGAAATGTTATTTAGTAACCCACTGCCCAACAAAG